GTTAACCAATTTACTTTGAAAAAAATCAATTTTGAAATGTCTTCTTTCTTTTATATTTTAGCATATTGAGGCAAAGGCTCCTGAACTTTCCTGAGTCTACATTTTTAGTTTGATCAGTTTCAAAAACAGAATAAGCATATCAGTATTATAGTAAAACAAAGTTGTTTAGGATCTTCTAGAGGGATGAACAGCATTTTTGTTTAAATAAACACTTATTTTCAGTAAATGAATCTGGGTTTGTGTTGGGGACAAACTAAATTCGTCGAACTACATTTAGCCACGTGGAACTTTTCCTAGCCAGTTTCATTTTTTAAGCTCTAAGAGTTATCAGTTCCTACCTCTGATGCTTCATCATTTTTATAGATTTCTGAAAATCAGAAGGTTGCTCAGAGTGAGATAAGCTTCTCCCCACTTTCATGTTTCTATTTTCATTATTTGCCGTGATTTCCAAATACAAACCATTTTTATTTCATGGGGTGATGAAGGAGTCTAAAGCAGGTAAGAAATCAAAACAATAAAGAAAACTGCATTTCCTTTCCTGAGAGCATAAGTCCAAAGTCTTTTATCTATAATTCAGAAATCAAAATAGAACTATCAAGTGTTTGGAACTCATTTGCCAGTAAAACCTGACCTGAACTGGAGAGAGGCTATTTATAATCTTTACAAAAATTCCGCCTAGTGTGATTGGTCATAGAAATATTAATGAGTTTGACTGTGGGTTGCTGCCCCTTAGCTAGGTATCACTATGCACTATATATCTGAGAACAAACAGTTCTGAATTCCAAAGTCTGCAAGGTCCCAAGGATTTCAGAGAAGAAAATACAGACCTACATTGGGGTAATTTTTTTGCCCCTGTGTGCCTTGACATTATGAAAGCAAGGAATAAGTTCCCTATTTCTAATCTCTACAGGTATATGTGGAATTACTACCAGTACCCATTTTGTTTGTCTTTAAAGCCCATTCAGGATAGAAACATACAGACAAGTGTGGTCCCCTGCCCTCACAGCAGCAGCATCATCACCTGGGAAATTGTTAGAGATGCAATTTTTTTCAATTAAACTTTATTTGTCATTATTATTGTTAGTACTTTTTACTTTGCTATAGGGCACATGTGCTCACAAGAGAGAGACGGAGAGAGAGAGGGAGTGAGAAAGCAAGCCTCCAAGTCCATGGCTTGAGCTGCATTTGGCCATGCGGGAGTCCAGTGCCTTAGCCATCATGCTACCTGCTGGCCCCAAGAAATGCAAATTATTGAGCCCCATCCCTGATTTACTGAATGAGAAACTCTGGGGGTGGGGAGTCTTGGCCAACTGCAAATCCTCCAGGAGATTCTGATACGGGCTCAAGTTGGAGAATTACTGCTCTCTCTCAGGGTCTGCAAACTATAGCCGCAGGCCCAAACTAGTAACTAAGTGGTTTTCACATATTTTTAATGACTGGGAAAAAAGAGACTATTTTGTGACACATAACATTTTTTTAAAAAGTCAAACTTTAATGTCTGTAAATAAAGTTTTATTCGAACACAGGTTCATTCATTTACGTATTGTTCGTGGCTGCTTTTATGTAGCAGAATTGAGTAGTTGCATCAGCTGCTGAATGACCCACAAAGCTGAAGATATTTACTATCTGGTCCTTTACAGAAAAAAAAATGCTGCTGTAGGTTGACAGTCAACACACATAAGGAATAATCACAGCCAAGAAAGAGATCAGTGGAACTTAGATTTCCACATGCAAGTGTTGTGATGGTTAGATCATCACATAGCTCTACATAGTTTGATAGCAAAATAACATTTGTATTATTTGCGGGGAGTAAAAGCCAAGTAATTGGTGGACAGTTTCAATTTGGTCATTCTAAAAAAGATTTCATAGTCCAGAATTCTTCAGTTCTTTGGGAGAGTCACATTCATCTGGATTTTTTTATTTGCTTCTGAGCTTTAACATTTCTATCTTCCAGGATACATAATCTTTCACACAAGACTGAACTGTATCCTGGTGTCCTGGTTAGATTTTGTTGCAAAGTTTTTTTTTTTGTTTTTTTTTTGGAGAGGTTTTTGCTATAGGGCGCGTGCGCTTGCCAGACAGAGAGAGAGAGACAGAAAGCGAGAAATCACCCCCCCAAGGGGGGATGCCCACACCGTAGTCCTCTCTCCTCCATTCTCCTCTCGGGATCTTGGGCACTCACGCACACGCGCCCAGCGTGAGTTTAAGCCATGTGGTCCGGGACTCGAACTGCGGTCGGCTACATGGGAGTCCAGCGACATAGCCATTACGCTAACTGCTGGTCCCCATTGTTGTTTGTTTGTTTGTTTTTAAACAGGATTTCACTGTGTTATGATCCTCCTGCCTCAGCTTCCCAAGTAACTGGGACTACAGATACACACCACCATGCCCAGCTTTTAGGGTCATCTGTGAATCAAACCTCATCCTCCCATATGGCTTCAGCCTGGGAAGCAGAGCATCTCACCAGTGTGCCCCACTGCAGCTGGTCAGAGGATTTTATTTTGTGCAGGGTTTGAGCCATTTAGATTATTCCTTAAATAGTTGTTGTAGTGCTCGTTTTGGCAGCACATATACTAAAATTGGAACGATACAGAGAAGATTAGCATGGCCCCTGCGCAAGGATGACATGCAAATTCGTGAAGCGTTCCATATTTTTAATAAAGTTGTTTAACTATAAAAAAAAAATAAATAGTTGTTGTAATGTCCCAGGTAGCCCCTGGTTAACTTTTTTTTCCTGGTTAACTTTTATTTATTTTTTTGAGAGGTTTTTGCTATAGGGCGCAGAGAGAGACATAGAGACAGAAATCAAGAAATCACCCCCCAGGGGGGATGGCCACGCCACAATCCCTTCTCCTCCATTCTCCTCTCAGGATCTTGGGCACGTACGCACACGCGCCCCGCATGAGTTTAAGCCACCAGGTCTGGGACTCGAACTGCAGTCGACTACATGGGAGTCCAGCGACATAGCCATTATGCCAACTGCTGGTCTCCCTGTTAACTTTTGTATCTATTCAGTCACCTGTGTGTTACTTCATTTACAGTGAAGATGGAAGGAAGATTTATTTGATGAGCTGTTCATATGTAGTTTATGATCCTTTCTGGAAGCTGTAAATCTCCTTACTAGGCAGCATTAACTTGTACCCTTACATACTCCAACAACTTAAGAGTGTGCACTGAGATATCTGTAGTATTTATGTGTACAGTTTTGATTGTATTTCTCTTGGCCATTTAACTGTGAACACCATACAGACCAGTGGGCAGTTAAATCTGTACTTGTATAATGCATTGACGTTTAATCATAAATATGTATTAACTATTGTATTTTTGTATGTGTGTGTGTCTTGATAAATTATGTTCCTTAGGCAACTTGTTCCAGCGATGGCATGTTCCTCTAGAACTCCAGATGACAAGACAAATGGCTAGCTCTGGTGCATCAGGGGGCAAAATCGATAATTCTGTATTAGTCCTTTTTGTGGGCTTATCAACAATAGGAGCTGGTGCATATGTAAGTAGAAAAGCAGCTTATGTAAAGCTGCTGCTAAACAGCTCCCATTAATAGACTCAGTACGACTCTGCTTTAAAACTTTTGCAACTAATTCCCTTTTCTCCTTCTGGAAAAATTTCTAGAAAGCCTTTTTAAAGTGTCTATTGTCTAATATTCTATGGGAGCCAATTTGGGAATGACTGGAATTTAGTCTCATGTTGATTGATCACTGCTCGTTTCATTTGTCTTTTTCCCCTTGACTTGAAAGCTACTGTGTTTCCTTAGTTTTGATTAACTTACAAAATTGTACCTGTTCTCTTAGCCGTGATACACTAACCTATGAATATAGTCAGAATTTATTGCAGCTCCTTAGCATAATACTTGATTTTGACCTATTTGTCAAATATCTTATTTTTCCTCAACTTGAGATTGACATTAAAACAAACAGCCTTTAGTCAAAAATAATAAGCATTTCTAAAAGGAAAACGTCACCTAAAAGGTGAATCTCACCCAAAGACTAAATTATAGAAGCAGGCCTAGTATCTCCAGTTTTACAATGGAGTTTGTGTGTGGTGAGAGATACAGTGTTTAACTGCTATGTAGTATTAGCGCAATTATATCTCCTTAAATGAACTCTGATCAGCTTAGCAGGTCACAGAGGAATTATTCTGTGGATGTGTTTTTTTCTTTCCTTTTTTTAATTTAAACTTGGCAAGGTTTACTGTGACTAAGCAGATCAGTCTAAAGTTGGATCCTGGAAGGTTGAGTGAACCAACTTAGCTAACACCTAGTACCACTCACAATTGAAGAAAGCTCTTTCACTTATTAAGAGCAAATGGTCGAGAGCCATTATCATTTTAGTTCTTCTGCACTGGTAAGACAGCAAACTTATCTTTGTTGTTTAGTCAGTAGGTTAAAAAAAAGGTGGGGACATTGGGCCAGCAGATGACGTGGAGGTTTAAGGTGGCTAGATCCCACATGACTGACTCCACAGTTTGAGTCCCAGACCCAGTAGCATGAAAAACACGCCAGGCGTGTGTGCATGCATGCCCAAAATCCTGAGGGGAGAATGGAAGAGGAGGGATTGCAGTGTAGCCATCCTCCCTGGAGGGTGCTTTCTCACTTTCTCTCTCTCTCTCTCTCTGTCTCTCTCTGTCTCTCTCTCTCTCTCAATATAGTGCACACAACTTAAAGAAAAAAAAAAACACCTGAAAATCATTTAAAGTTATGTATCTCCTTGTACCCTGACCTGATTCCCAAATGCACAAGAAAAGTAGATAGCTCTTGCCACTGTGAGTCAAATCAAAGTAAGAAATAGGTGAGCTCTGTCTGGTAACACACTCTGATAAGGTAAATGTTTTCCTCCAATCCTGGAGCAGCATTTTGTTCTTTGTTCTTTTTTCACACAGGGTAACCAAAAATGCTTCCATGCCTTTGGATTGAATATTGCTTCATGAATACTCAGTGCTCTTTCTATTTCCTTTTGTCTCTTTCTTGGCTTTATCTTTACCTACAGTTGTGCAGTGTCATCACCTAGGATCACCTTCTAGATCACTAGCGTCTACAGGTGCATCTGGGAAAGATGGCAGCAACCTAGTGTACTTCTTAATTGTAGGAGCGACAGTCACTGGGGCAGGAGTTTATTATGTAAGATACTGAATACTAAAATATATTTGGGGGTAGGGTGGGTGAGACACTAATGACAACTTGATCCATTAGAGTACAATAAAATATTCATAGCACGTGCTTTCTCTAGGTCTTTATTAAAGGGACATTGTCAGTCACTAGAAAGCCCTCCGATCTCATTCTTTAAACTGTTGAAGCCCTGACAGATACATCTAAAGTCATACATTTAATGATCATTTCAAATCCTCATGATCAACCCTGTCTTTGAAATTTTTGCCAGTTTTCTAATTATTTTTATGTTTAATTATATTGTGCTTTAGTGCTGCATATTTAACAAGACAGTCTCAAAGATTAAATGTTTAATCAGCATATAAAGGTAACGTGAACATTGTCCATTTCGAATCATTTTAGGTAATCTGTAATTTTTGTGTTTTGTGAAAAGCAATCTGACTTCTGTGAAAAGGCATTTTATTGAATGCCTTTGAGGAGTTCCCCCCAAAAAAAGCACATACATTGCAGTATTGTCCTCATCCACACACAGCCCGTATTGCAAAATACATTTATTTGGCAGTGTCCCTTTTTTAATCTCTAGTTTGATCAAACTAGTGGCTCAAGTGGTACAAGCTAACACATTCATGTACATTGCTTTCTTAAATGCCTCTCATTCATAATTCAAATACTGTCCTCTGAGTTGTCACTTTTCCATTTCACATCTCTTTCAAGTTTTCCCATTGGTTCCATCCCATTCATTCAAAACTAGATTTCAGGGGTGTCCACTATATTCGTAACAATTTAAACCTGTTAAACTTCTGGTTTGTGTTGCTGTACCAGAGTTGGATGCTCCACAGAGTTGACCATGCAAATTCTCTCGATGCCAAGCCATGAGACAGGGCTGGTCACTGTTGCTTTATCCTGTTTAGAAATATCCAGGCAGCACAGGTTCCTGTCACGTCTTTCAGTTAAATGCCCTATTATCCTCTGTGTTTATCCAACACTGGTAATAATAAAGCTACTATATTATAGTGGTTCCAGGTTAAATGATAAGCTTTTGTCTACTTATGGTTGCTATTAAACCATTTTGTGTAGTTTTGTTTCAGTTTTTTGTTTGTTTGTTTGTTTTTATTTATTCCATGAAAGAGAGATAAGAGCCCCCAACAGGGTCTTCTTGCCATGATCCACCCACGGTCTTAGTCAGCCCAGATCATGGGCATGTGTGTGTGTCCAGTATGCATAGGGAGGTCCTGGGGCAGGGACCCAGGACCTTCCTGTATGTACTGAGCTTTTGGGTCATCGGGAAAGTCACGACACATTGTTCTATGCAAAAATCCATCACGACTTTTCTGATGATCCAAAATATTCCCACTGTGCCACCACCTGGCCTTGCTGTAGGTTTTAGTCATCGAAAACGACCTGAGAAAGCTTAGATTTTTTTTTCTCTAAAATTGGTAGTAGTCCCAAGAGAACTGTTAAGTTAAAATCAGCGTTCAGATTTCATGAGATATGGCTGGCAGTTATTTAGTGTTTGTATTAGTTTCTCAGGCTGCCATACCAGCATTCTCAGACTGCATGGCTTACACAACAGTTTATTCTTTTATAGTTCTGAAGGCTAGAAGGCCAAGATCAAGGTCAGACTGGGTTCAGTTTCTGATAAAGGCTGTCTTCCTGGCTTGCAGACAGCTGCCTTCTTTCTGTGTCCTCATGTAGTTTGGAGAAGTGAGCAGGAGGGAGCCAGGTCTATTGTGCCTGCCTCTTACAGAGGCAGGAGCCTTGTCAGATTAGGGTCCCACCCTTATGACTTAATTTCATCTTTATCACCTCCCCAAAATCCCATCTCTAAATACTGTCAAATTGGGGATTAGGGCTTCAGCATATGGATTGTGGGGGGGCAGGGACACAAATATTCAGTCTAACAGTGTACCTTTGGGTCAGCTTATGGCATGGTGATTAAGGCCCTGGATCCCACCTGGCCAGTGGTGCAGCTCAAGTCCCAGAACCAGCAGTTTGAAAACACACTGAGTGTGCATATAATAGCCCAGAATCCCAAAGGGAGGGAGAGATGAAGAAGGGATTGTGGCATGGCCATGGCCAATGGGATAGGGGTTGCTTTCTTGCTTTCTCTCTCTCTCTTTCACACATGTGCCCTCTGGCAATTTTTTTTTTTAAAGACAATAATGAAGGTGTTCCTCCATACCTTTTTTCCTCTCATCAGAGGGAATTTTCTTAATGTAAGCATAAATACTATCTGAGTATTTCCTGTATTGGGAGCTTTTTACCTTCCCAGTCTACCCCATAAAAGGAAGGGAATAAACCAGTGGGTGTTGAAAAATTGTACCATGATCCACAGTAAGAGGTATATTTTATCTTGCAACTCATTATCTAACTGCAAATACAGAAAACTGAAACAACTTTAAGAAATTATAACTTACTAGGTATGCTATTCTCTAGTTATTTTCCATTCTTTATTTTTTAATGCTGGCTGTAACCTACCAAATAAGTCTTATAGTCCACTAATAGGTTACAACCGCAGTTTGAGAAACTCTGATGTGAACAGCACTTCTGCTGCTTAGATCATAAATATGAACTCCTGACTGGTGGTGAGAGTTTTTCCTACTCTTGCTGGTAACTTTCTCTAGGACCTTAGGCAGATCCCTCAATGGTCCAGTTATTTGTCAGTGAGCAGAGCCAGAGTGGCTTTAGAATGTTAATGAGGCTTAGTATTTGGGCCATGTTTTGTCTGAGTACCCTGCAGAACCTGGACCGTTGGGGCAGGGTGGTGGCAGCAGTAAAGGTGATGCTCTGTGAGGGTGACCCATAGAGACAGGGTCTGTATTCATGCCTGGAGACTTCCCTAAGTACACCAGGCTCACACGTGACCGTGATCTAGGGCTAGCTGAGGCTGGGAATAGATTGTAGCATCAAGACTCTCTTGGGGATGATGTCTTTCTCCTGTACATGCTCATGGAAGAAAGAAAGAAATTTTTTTTGAAGTTTTTGCCATAGGGCATGTGTGCACACTGGAGACAGAGACAGAGAGAGGGAAAATGAGAAATTACTGCCTACGAGAATGTCCGCTCCACAATCCCTTCTCCATTCTCCCCTTGAGATTTTGAGCATTGTATGCCCATGCATCCAGCATGGTTTTCAAACCACTGGGTCTGGAGCTTAAACCATGGTCAGAGATATGGGAGTCTAGCATTTTAACTACCATGCCACCTGCTGACCCAATATATATATATTTTTTTTTTCCCCAAAAGTCTAGGCTATTTACCAGAAAGGTGTACGTTACAGCTTCCTACCCAGAACCATATAGATTGATTTTGCAGCTAGCATCCAGCATAGTCCAAACCCCCTTTCTGTACTTGATACAAGGTTTAGCTCTTCCTCGAACTTTATTTTTCTAATATAAACTGTTTTTCTTCTTTAACCGTACCTTCAGGATTAAATAGAAGTAGAGTTCTTTACAGAGAGCATAAGAAAATCTGAAACTGAAACAATTTTTAAAATTATTGCTAGAGCATGTTTGTTCTTACCAGGGAGAGAGAAAGAGAAAGCACCCCCAGTGGGGCATGGTCACACCACAGTCTTTCTACGTCCATTTCTTTATCCCATTAGAATTTGGGACACACACATATTTTTCAAGCTGTCAAGACCAGGATTTGAGCCATAGGATCTGGTTCTCAATGCACAGTGCTTAACCATTGCCCGTAGGGCCTGCCCCAAACTAGAACATTTGTATTTACTTGTATGTATTCTTCCTACACCAAGTGTGTGCACATCCGGCATTTTTAAAAATTTCCTAAGAAAATGACTTTGCTTTAGTGGATTTAACATAGAGGCACTAACCTCATGTAGACAAAAGCTTCTCATTTAATCGTGGGCTAATATTACTTATAGTCTGAGCTAGCTATATGATAAAATAAATGTTCTCTCTGTTTGGGTCTGCAGGCCTACAAGACTATAAAAGATGACCAAAAAAGATACAATGAACGAATATCTGGGTTAGGATTGACACCAGAAGAGAAACAGAAAATGGCAACATCATCTGGTGAGTACTCCCTTCTCACTATGATTTGAGACTCATGAAGGGAAAATTATAAACAGTTTAGGCACTCTGATTTACAGATAGTTTCTAGAAACAATGACGATACGAGATTATAAGCTTTCAGAAACTATAATACTACCCCAGAACTGGGAGCAGTTTGTTTAGAGGTTGAGTTTGAGAATAAAAATAGTGACAATTATAATTGGTTGTTTTCCTTTATATTAGACTCTGAAAAGGCAAACTTGAAAACTGTTGAAAAAGAGATGAAAGCTATCTTTTCCATGGGGAAATTCTTTTGCTTTATTTCACTCACCTTTTGAACCATTGGAGTTTCAAGTTGTTAAAGATATATTTGTTATCCTAAGTCACATAGCCTTAACCTTCACTTCCATCCCACATGATCCCATTGATTTTTCAGAAAGGAATGTTTTAATCCTGAAATAAACCCCACAACTCTGGGAGGGTGATATACATTGCTTCCTTCAGTAAAACCTCCTTATTCTTAAACATTCTATAATAATCTCCAGTTGATCTGAATATTGCCCTTTATTGCTAACAAAAGGTGAAACCAAACTGGATATTTCCCTGGTAGTTGCTAGGAAATTAATGGGAAGGACAGAGGCCTTTTAATATATACTTTCTAATATAGTTTAGAAATAACTAAATATTTAAGCACGGTGCTAGTTCTAGTACAGACCTAATGAATAAATGACATTGGCCAAATCATACGCCTTGTTTTTTTGTTTTGTTTGTTTTTGGTGCTTTTCACTTGTGAAAAGAAAGGGATACTTGCTTTTCTTCTCCCACCAGGACGCTTCAAAGTTGGTTAAGATTATAGTGCCGTTACAGAGTTTTGCTAGCTTTCATGTAAGGGATCAAGATAAGTGTGAGGTGGTTTTTAAAAAAATAGTGGCCAAGAGTTATTTGAAACTTGGAGAAAATTCACCCTGTCTGGTCTATCACAGCTTCAGAAGGAGAGCCAGTTCCTCAAGTCAGGGTACCCAGTCAT